CTCGTACCTACGGGACCACCTCTCCCGGTATGCCCCACAGAGAGCCTCAAGGTCCATAAATAGCAACACCCTAGAGGTCCCGGGCCCTAAGGAAGTTAGATTATCTTCAACCAGAGCCAGGGCCTTTTCAACACTGGCCCCGGCCTGGTGGAACGCTCTGCCTCATGAGACCAGGGCCCTGCAGGATCTGATTTCTTTCCGCAGGGCCTGTAAGACAGAGTTGTTCCGCCTGGCCTTTGGCTTGGAGCCAATTTGATTCCCCCCCCCCCTCTTTTCTCCTTTCCTTTCTCCTCCTGCGATGAGGCTACATTTTAATATTTTAATGTTTCAATATTTTAATGTTGTATTTTAATGTTGTTTTTAAGTTGTATTCATTCAACTTGTTTTTATTATTGCTTGTTAGCCGCCCTGAGCCCGGCCTTGGCTGGGGAGGGCGGGGTATAAATAAAAAGTATTATTCTTATTGTTATTAGGTGGGCCGCTGGCCTGATCCAGCAGGCTCTGGAAACCCGCAAACTGGTATTCAGAAGCATAGCCACCTCCTACCACCTGCTGGGTAACTGAGCCTAAAAGGGTAAAAGTAAAGGGACCCCTGACCATTAGGTCCAGTCGTGGCCAACTCTGGGGTTGTGGCGCTCATCTCGCTTTACTGGCCGAGGAAGCCGGCGTACAGCTTCCGGGTCATGTGGCCAGCATGGCGAACCAGAGCAGCGCACGGAAACGCCGTTTACCTTCCCGCCGGAGGGGTGCCTATTTTTCTACTTGCACTTTGACGTGCTTTCGAACTGCTAGGTTGGCAGGAGCAGGGACCGAGCAACGGGAGCTCACCCCGTCGCGGGGCTTTGAACCGCTGACCTTCTGATCGGCAAGTCCTAGGCTCTGTGGTTTAACCCACAGCGCCACCCGCGTCCCCAACTTAGCCTACCCAGCCCTTATTATTTCCCATAATGCCCAGAATGATGCCCGGGGCATCAGGGGCAACTGGAACCGAAGCTCGCCCCCGCTGCTTGGAGCGGCACACAAAGCAAAGCTCATGGGGCTGGAGAGCATCAGTAGTTGTGGCCGCAACATCTGCCCACAGGTGCTAGGTGCCGGCGATGGCTTTGGTACACTGCAAGGCAGCCTTTGCCAACCAGGTGCCCTCCAGGTGTTGCTGATGGGAGCTCTAGTCCAAAACCTCTGGAAGGCAACAGTTTGGCCAAAAGTTTCCACGGGGGACTGCTCCCCCGAACGATGTGTGCGTCATTCTTATCAGTTGCAGGCGACAAGGATACTCAAATCCTCCCATAATGGGAAAACTGCTTTCTTCGTTTTGTTAGAGCGTGATGCTGATAAGGTTGCAGGTTCAATCCCAGCTACATATTATCGCATTGCAGGGGGTTTGGCTAGATCATTTTTTATTTTTTTTCTTCTTCTTGGTTTTCACATATTAATTTAAAATACAGATGTACCAAAACCAAACCATTTGCTCCCCATCCCCCCATACATTTACATTTCTGTTTCCTCAATCCATCATATTATTCTTTTCTCCTTCCTCCCACTTTCCTCCACCCCCACTCAATTTCCTCCACACTATACAATTTACAATAATCTTTGCATTCTGCAACCTTCTCAAATCATCTATATGTTCTTATTATCTTTCCTTACTAATTTTTCTTCCATCTAGTACTTCACATTTTAATCTAGGCATATTAGCATATCTTTTTTTGAGCAATATTTTGCCATATATTAAATGCATCTTTGGGTTATTTGTAGGGCCTGCCAGGTGTCTTTACATGAGTAGAATTTGTGCTTTTATTTAAAATGCATCTCTGGGTTATTTGTTGGGCATAGGAATTTGTTCATTATGTTTTTCCAAAATATAGTCCGGCCCCCCACAAGGTCTGAGGGATGGTGGACCGGCCCCCTGCTGAAAAAGTTTGCTGACCCCTGGGCTAGATGATCCTCAGGGTCCTTTCCAACTCTACAGTTCTGTGATTCCTGGCTATTCTTCCCTCACAGGACAGTTGTAAGGAAAACGCAAGATGCCATTGTGTGGTCGCACCATAGCTGTCAAGTGTCCCTTATTTGGCGGGACAGTCCCTTATCCCAGCGCCATGTCCCACTGCTGTCGCTTATTGATGAGGCTACATTTGGCTGCTGGCTGGGCTTTCTGCCTTTGGCTCAGAGGGGCTCAGAAGTTGAACATACCTGTGCCCAGAAAATCCCTTATTTTGGCTGCTGATCCCTTATTTCCGAGGCTGCTGGTCCCTTATTTTCAAATCTGTAAGCTGACAGCTATGGGTCGCACACTTCAACGGACAGGAGCGAGTCCCGGGATTATAAGTGGTGGTGCCGTGGTTAGGGGTGTTGGTCCAGGACTGGGAAGGACCAGGTTTAAATTCTTGCTTACAGGGCACGCTTGGGCCTCCAGTCGCTCTTAGCCTAACCTGCCTCACAGGGTGGAAAGAGAGGGGGGGGCATTGAGAATCAAGCGTACCTTAAGCTCAATGGAATAATAATAATAATATTTTATTTATATCCCGCCCTCCCCAGCCAAAGCCGGGCTCAGACGGCTAACAACAATAAAAGTAGCACAATTTACATAAAATCACAATCAATTAATTGAAATGCATTCTAAAATCAACTCCTTCTAAAATAGAAGAGTGGGGCTTCAAATTGTAATAAAGAGGAAAAGAAATAGCATCTGAAGGTGGGCTCCATCACTGTCCTGTCTTACTCACCTTCATTTGTTTCCCCCCAGGATACATAATTAACTCCTCATTTTGCCTGTTGGAGTCATTTTTGCTGTGCAGCCAAGATGGTGAGTAGCCGTCAGAGGTTGGCGAGTCTTGTTCTTTCTGTGATCCCTCCCGGGCATTTTCTATAGTCTGTTGTTATTTTGTTTATTATTGTTAACGGAAAAATCCCAGGGCTCCCTTGGACAAAAACAAAGACACCAACCAGGATTCCTTGGAGCAAAACAGCAGCCTGTAGGCTTGGTCTTTATTGATCTGTTGCAACAGGGTGCTCCCCTCACCTGCAGGAGAGAGGAAGGACCCAGAAAAATGGCGTGCAAGACCTTATAAAGACTTTTGAAATTGCCACCCTGTAGATCAAGACCACCCCCAGAAACATCATACATACATCACAGAAGGGGTGTAACCTAAGACCACCCCTCAGATACATCACACCTACATCACAGAAAAGGTGGTCTAAAACAGAAATTTGAATGTTGTTTTTCTCTTGTCGTTGTTTATCTCCTGTCTGGCAGGTTACTTGATTGGATTGCCTGGGGAGCCCGCCATTCTTTTGTAGTGATAAATACTTAGTTCCTGGGCCAGGTCACAGGCTCACACCCTATTCAAACACAGACATACCCTTAAGACAGGATTGGTGAAGGAAAAGACAATGGGGAGGCTTTTCCAGTTTGACCTTGCAGAGAAAACATTTGCTCAGTTTAGGACTTAAAATGGTTCCAGGTTGGCCTTCCTGTGCCGATCTATGTATGTGCTTGGTTGGTACACTTACGTTCATTACCATATATCTAAGACCATAAAATTCCTATCACATTATTTACTGTGCTTATTTATTTAACAGAATATGGAGGTTGCTTAAGTGTAAATAGGAGTTTCTGTTCACAAAGAGCAGAAATTTGTCGAGAAAAGTCCAAAGTTAAAAGCAAGGTTTTTTTCTTTTTTAAAAAAATCACAATATAAACAAAACCAAGAGATCCAAAATACATAATAGAACTGAAAACTACATGTCAACTGAGCAGAGGAAAAAAATTAGCAGGCTCCAAAAAGAGCGTAGGAGAGGCACCTACTTAAATGTCAATGGTCAGAGAGTTGCCGAATGTAGGAACTGCCTCACTAAAAGATGGGTTCCTGTTTTCTCAACAGCACGGCAGGCTGAAGGTTAAAACGACAGAGGAGCAGGCGGAAGCCAAGCGCATTGAGCGGGAGAAGAAGCTGCGCCAATACGTGACGGCCACAAAAGCCATCTTTGAGAAGGTAAAAGGGATGGGCAGAGTCGTAGGGGCAGAGAAGGCGAGGCAGGTGTGCAAAGACCTTCTCTCCATTCTCCGTCCTCAAACAAAGGCAGCCTTCACCCTGTCATGAATCTTAAATATTTTTTTTATTGATCAATTTCCACAAAACAAATTATCAAACCATATAATCAAATACATTGTTTTTCTCCCCTTTTTCCCCCCACCAAGGACTTCCCTCAGGTCCTCTCCCTGATTTCTCTTCACATATTTTCTCTGCATGTTATAAAATTGTACATATCCTTACATATCTATCCATCATGTTCTCGACCAATACATTTGTGTCTGTTTATTCAGAACCTGCCAGGGAGTCCAGTTCATTTTGTTGTCTTTTTAGATACAGTGGTACCTCGGGTTAAGTACTTAATTGGCTCCGAGGTCCGTACTTAACCTGAAACTGTTCTTAACCTGAAGCACTATTTCTAGGTTAGCGGAGTGTGTAACCTGAAGCGTGTGTAACCTGAAGCATATGTAACCCGAGGTACCACTGTAGTTTGTAAAAAGTTCCTGTTCCTCCTTAAAGTCACAGTTGTCCTTGTCTCACAATTTGTAAGTCACTTTGGCCAGTCCTGCATAATTCGTCAATTTCTCTTGCCACTGCTCTTTTGTCGGGGTTTCTTCATTCTTCCATCCTTGCACTATCAAGACTCTTGCCGCTCACCCTGTCATGGATCAGGTCCACAAAGGCACCACCAGCAGGAGGGCAACCAAGATGATCGAGGGTCTGATGAGGAACAGTTGAGGGAGTTGGGTATGTTTAGCCTGGAAAAGGTGGTGACAGCAGTCACGAAATTAAAAGACGCCTGCTCCTTGGGAGAAAGGCGATGGCAAACCTAGACAACATCTTAAAAAGCAGAGACATCACCTTGCCAACAAAGGTCCGTTGTGATGGGAAGATGAGCTGCTTGTGCGTAAAATCGTATTCCCTCAGAGTTTGTTCAAGTCCACAAACCTCTGTCTGTGACTGAGCCCCTCTGACATGGCTCCTCTAGTCACTAGAAGATTCCGACAGTGGTTGCTTTCGTAATCGCTTCCAACATAAAAGCTCCTTAACGGAAACACGTCTTCTGGACTCTCTGCGTGACAGTTTCCGGCGAGGAGTGGGTGTCCCTACAGGAGGTCCGGAAACCTCACCACTGTTTTCGCTGGAAGTATCTCTGAGCCATCCCCCAGCTCCCTTTCCCTCAGTTCAGCTTCTCTCCCTGCTGGTTTCCTCTTCAGCTGCTGAGTCTCTTCCAACCTGTCTGAGCCCTTTCACCTCCCTCAGTTCAGCTTCTCTCCCTTGCTGGTTCCCTCTTCAGCTGCTGAGTCTCTTCCAACCTGTCTGAGTCCTTTCACCTCCCTTCCTTCCGATGGCAGTTCCCTGACATCCACCTCCCCTCCAGGGCCCCCTTCACCCCCTCTCGCCCTCCTCTACGGGCGGTGAGGAGGCAAAACCCCGGAATGAACTTCCTTCATCTTCCGATGTCTCGAACACTTCTCTCCACCTGTTGCGGTTCCTGGTCTCGAAGCACTCCTCCTCCTCCGAGTCCATCTCCCTTCCCCTTCCGATTCTGGGAATCCTTCCAACTCCTCCTCCTCCTCAGTGGTCCCAAAGTATTCCCTCCGGAACCTCTCCACAGGCTGAGGTTTCCTCGGGAACCTTTGATGGAACGTTTCTATCAATACCTCGTCATTGATATCTTCGGCCATTACCCACGTGTTTTCTGACTCCGGTTCTCCTTCCCACGCTACCAAATACTCCACCTGATTCCCCTTCCACCTGGCATCAAGGATTTCTGCCACATGACTGCTGCATTCTCTTTCTTCTATGACCGGTCCCCGAGTGGCCATCCCTCTCGTCCCCTCGTACGGTGACAGTAACGACCTGTGAAATACTGGGTGCAGTTTCATGTGGTTGGGTAACCGGAGCCTGAAAGCCACTGGGTTGACCTGTTGAATGACCTCAAAGGGACCCAACCTCCTGGGTCTTAATTTCTTACAACCTCCTTTGAACGGCAACCCTCGGGTTGACAGCCACACCCTATCTCCAACCCTTATGGTTTCACCTTCCCTTCGGTTCTTGTCTGCCTGCCTCTTGTATTCTTCCTTCGCCCTTTCTAAGTTGAGTTGGAGCTGACGGTGGATTGCTTCCATTTCTTCTACAAAATGCTCGGCTGCCGGTACGCTCCATCTCTCCCCTTCTCCCCTGGGAAAGCCCTGGGATGACACCCATAATTAGCCAAGAAGGGGCTCATCCCTGTGGACACATTCTCGGCATTGTTGTAGGCAAATTCCGCCAGCGCCAACTTTTCTACCCAGTCATTCTCTCTGTCATTGACATAACACCTCAGGTATTGCTGGAGGACACCGTTTGCTCTTTCCGCCTGCCCGTTGGTTTCCAGGGTGCCGGGCAGTCGAAAAGTTGACCTCCACCTGCAGTAAGCTCATGAGCTTCCTCCAGAACCTGGAAGTAAATTGTTTTCCTCGGTCTGAGACCACCCTCAATGGCACCCCGTGCAACCTAAAAATGTGTTCTACAAATAACTTCGCTGTCTCTTCCGCCGTGACTGCATGCGAGCAAGCTACAAAGTGGCACATCTTTGTTAGTAGGTCTACCACCACCATGATGGCTGTTTTCCCTTTGGACTTCGGCAGATCAGTCATAAAATCTATCGACACTGCCTCCCAAGGTCGTTCTGGTGTTGGTAAGGGTTCCACAGCCCCGCCGGCGCCCGCCTTTCCCTTTGGCTCGCTGGCACTGCTCGCACCCTCTTACATACTCACGTACATCCTCCCTCACCTTAGGCCACCAAAATTCCCTGGTGACCAACCACATGGTTTTGTGTTGCCCAAAATGCCCCGCCGTGGGGCTGTCATGCAACTGCTTGAGTACCCGCCCCCTTACGTCTCCTTCAGGGATATACAGTGCCCCTTTGTAATACAAAGCTCCATTTCTTTCCTCGAAACCCCTTGATTCCTCTCCCTCATCCCTAAGACCTCTGAGCTTATTCTGGGCGTATTCATCATTCTCTGTTTCTTCTACCAGTTCTCTTTGTCCCACCAATGCCGCCCCACACACCCAGCGGTCCTCTGGATGACATGTCTCTCTTCGGGTGCTCCCTCCTCCAAATATTCAGGTTTGCGTGAGAGAGCGTCCGCCCTAATGTTCTCTGGGCCTGGCACGTAACAAATCTCAAAGTTAAATTTGGAGAATTCCTGGGCCCACCTCACTTGCCGTTGGTTGAGCACTCGTGCCGTCCTCCAATACTCTAGGTTCTTGTGGTCAGTGCACACTTGCACCTTATGTTGTGCGCCAATTAGCAGGTGCCTCCATCTCCGGAACGCCTCATGAATGGCTAGTAGTTCTCGGTCATACACCGTGTAGTTCCTCTCGGATTTGTTCAGCTTTCGCGAAAAAAAGCACACGGTCTCCACTCTGACTCCTCCTTCCCTGGCTGGAGAAGCACCGCCCCAACCGCTCTGTCTGATGCGTCAGTTTCCACTCTCATCGGTTTTTGTAAATCCACATGCAGGAGCTGTTGTTCCGAGGCGAAGGCCCTTTTTAGTTCCTCAAATGCTTGCTCCGCCTCCTCCGTCCAAACGAACTTCTTCTTACTGCTGAGACAGTCCGTAATGGGCGCCGTCAGGTGGGCAAAGTTTGGGATGAACTTACGATAGAAGTTCCCAAATCCTAAAAACCTCTGCACATCCTTCCTTGTTTTGGGTGTTTTCCATTCCAGTACCGCCGGGACCTTGCCGGGATCCATGGCCAACCCCGTGTCAGACAGGCGATACCCCAGGAATTCCACCTCCTTGGTATGAAACTGACACTTCTCCAGTTTCACCCACAGCTGCTTGGCTTGCAGCCTGCTCAACACTTCTCTGACGTCTCTCACATGCTGCTCCTCATTCTCAGAATACACCAACACGTCGTCTAAGAAGGCCACACAATTCTTGTAAAGCAACGGCCCCAGGACGTGGTTCATAAACGATTGAAATGTTGCGGAGCCTGCTTGTAGACCGAAGGGCATAACTAAGTATTCAAATGCCCCTAAAGGGGTGAACATGGTGGTTTTCCATTCATCCCCTTCCTTATTCGTATCAGGCTGTACGCCCCCCTTAGA